GTGTCGTTAACTAAATTTTTTTTAAAGAAAACACTTAATTTTACAATTAGTCCCCTATCTTTTCATTAAATCCAGCACCATGGCTCCGACCACCATGGCTGCCTTCCTTCCATCTCCGACCACCATTCTTCAACCAAAAATTAACCACGTGAAAGTTTCTACTACCAATGCAACATCATCCCCCAATTCCTCACCTCCATTAGAATCATCTTTCTTCCACTATAGAAAAAATCCCGAAATAATAATTTAAATCTTCTTTCAACAAGAAAAGGTCCATATTCACTGTCGAAATTTTTGTCCTTTCTGCTAAATTCCTTTAATTTCATAGATTTACCTTCTCATAAAGACCACTCTTCAAACCCACCGTCTCTCTCCACCTTCAAAATTCAAAAATCCATAAACCATTAAAGCTTTATTATTGGACTTCACTTAATTTTTAGGGAGGAATTTTATGAGGGAAAACAAGGGGCGTGTAGGGATAACGGGAGACTTGAAGACAAATGAAGGGTGGAGAAGGTGGGTCTAGCCAGTGGGTAAGGTGATGGGTTAGTTTAGGAGAATGAAAAATGAAGAAGAACAAAAAAAATAAAAGTAAAACAAAAATAAAAAATGGGAATCAATATAAACCTTTGGATTTATTTTATCAAATCGGGACCGCTCAACAAAGCATCAAATATATACTATTGTCTCCGCACACGCTTCATTTTGGTGGTAAAACACGCGCGGGGCCACGTAGGTAAAATGGTGTGTCTTAGCTACACATTGAAAAGGTTGAGTGTGTAAAATGATTTTCATGGTCAAAAAGTGTGTAACAGGGATTTGGTCCATAGTTTACAGGGTAACTTATGTATTTTGCCAATAAGATACTCCCACCACCATTGACTCAATAAAAAAGAAAATTAAAAAAAAAAAAATTGAGAGAGCATATTCTAACATTATACGTATTTTTGTGGCTCGTATTAGTCCATGAGCTCTGCACACACGCAGTTCTTGTTCCCTTTATTTTTTCAAGGGTTTTCGAATTAATTTGCGCACATCAACTTTTTTCATGCTGCTTCAAAAGACATTTTTTTCAATAGGTTTTAAAAAAATACTCTCATCTTCTATATTTTAATAATAGTGTTCAAAATTTATTCTGCCTTTAATGTTATGCTAATATAAGAATGAATAGGACATATACTTATTTAATTTATATTTCAAAAGTTTTAATAATTTATTAAACTATGTTCATACTTTGTATAACTATAATAATTAAGTTCGAACACATTATTAATTTAGTTAAGTTTGTTTCTTTGATTTTCTATAATAAACAGTGCTAATTGGACGACAGAGACAAGTCAAGGAAAAATAGAAGAAGCAAGGAACAAGATCACAGAGAATCGCTTGCCATTTGTTTGCAAGTTGTTAACACGTGGCTTGTCTATTTACGTCATCGCCCCACGCCCCACCTCCAAACCTTTTCTTCATCAACTTCAGCCAATATTTTGGGTAGTCTCTTTCCTATTCTTTTAAATTATAAATTAAGTTGAAACTTAAAAAAATAATTTTTGAAGAAGCATTAAAAAATAAATTTTAAAAATTGAAGTTATATTTGGACATATATTTTATTTGAAAAGAATAAAGTTCTGTGAGTGGAAGAAAAAAGAAGTCACCCAAAAGTTATCCTAATCCAGTTTTTTGGAACTAGAATTTTTTTCCAATTTTTTTTTTTTTTAAATTCATCATATTTCATGAACCAACAATATTTTTAAGAAAATTTGAAAAAAATTGCCGAAATTTATGGCAAAAAGGAGCTAAATGTCTCAACATATTTGATATAAAAAATAAATATTAGGAGTATTATTATCCCTACTTTATTTTATATGATACTAATTTTTTATTAGTATGTTCAAAAAATATTGATAGCTTTTTATAATTGATAAGAATTCTATCTTAATTTTCTTACTTTCCTTTAATAGTATGCTTTTCGAACCAAAAAAAAAAAGAAAATTTGCTTAAGATCATAATTTTAAAAGTACTTTTTTTTTAAACTATGCAAAATCAAATACAATCGCATAAGTCGGAAGAAAAGGAGTCCTTATTTTCTAAATTACTTTCATTATTTCAATTAATAAAAAATTTAAGTTTCCTGTAAAGAGCATACAATAACTTTAAAATGCTGATAATATAAACATACATTAATAATTAATCAAATTGTAATTCATACCAACCCCACAAACCTCACCAACCCTACAATTCTAACCATTGTGGGGGTTGATAGGGAACCTAACAAAAAGGGACCTAAAATCTGATGAACCACGTGATGTTGACTTCCTTTTCTCCTTTATCATTTTTAGTGCCATTTCATTTTAAGTATTTTTAAAGAAAATAATTGAAAGGATAAACTAAATTATTCAATAGAAAATTTCACTTGTGAACACACTTGTGGTTGCTCCATTGTTTCAATCACCGACAAAAGCCAGCTTATATTTTTATTCTTCTTTTTTTTATTAAGTTAATATTTTCAATTGTTTTCCGGAAAAAGAAAAAGAAAAAGAAAACACATTTAACGATGATAATAGTAGATGTGGTTAATGGATGATAAGAGAACAACCTTATCTCATCTCCATATAAACATATGAAAAGCAAGGGAAATATTTCAGGACGGCCAAAGTTTCTTTCTTTTATTTTCCCAATCATTTAATGTGACAGAGACGCTGAAAATAAACTTGAACAAAGACAGTTACTCCCTCCGATCACTTTTACTTGGTATGTATATTAAAAATAGATATTCACTTTTACTTGGCACTTTACACATATTAAGAGAAGACAAAAAATTTGTCAAATTTATCTAGTCGATAAAGATTAATTAAACTCAGATAATAGTAAATAAAAAGGCTTTTTTCTTTTAATTTGTCAAATTCAAAATTATGAGCGAAAAAAGGTAAAAGGGATGAGTTCTCTTTTCTTTTTTTTTTTTTTTTTTTAAGATTTGCGGCATTGAAGACAATGCTCCTAATTAATGCTATGTAGAGTTATTATGACTTTTATATTGCAAAATCTAATTCCAAATATAATTGCATTCATCATTATAGACTTTTTAACGGTGGTTGAATGGTTACAATTTAATTGACTCTGTCTTTACTCTTAATTAATAACGCAAGCATGGTTTGACAAAATTAATGTACAGCTTCCGGATTATATTACAAAACATTAATTAAGTAGAAATTGACTTTCCATTGTAGTGACAAGTGACAACACAACAATACCATACATTATGGATTAGGATAATGCAAACAGGAAATAAATAAATAAATAAATAAATACGAAGGGATATTATGCTCTGTACCCGAAAATATTAGACAGCAAAGTAAATAAATTAATGTACTAAGGGAACTTTTGGTAAGTGCGTTAATGAACTTGATTTCAGTATCTCTTTATGTAATCTTTACACGATATTCGCTAATTAATCCAAAAATCATTCAAAATCCTTATCTTGTGGATCGCAATATGATCTACATTTTGTCCTTTTTACCTAATAAGTTGAAGTTTCGTTACCTATGCAATCAAACGACATCTTATGGTAAAGAGCGTAGATATTAGTTTTATATTATTATGGTTATAAAAGTAATGCTGAATATGATCGCACATTATTCTTGCTCTATTAGTCATTATTATGGTGAGACAAATGAGCAATCCGATTTTAAAAGAAGAAAAATATATATATATACATATAAATATGTTGACTAATTAAGGTTAAGAATATAAACTATAATAAAACTATTACCAAATACATTAAATCTCTTTCATAGACCATTTATTCAGAAAAAGTTTATCTAAACATTCTTTCATTGGGTATCTAATAAAATAAAGGAAATACATACTCTCAATCTAAAAAGAAAAAGAAAAAAGATTTTGAACTACAGTCAAATCTCTCTATAAAAGTTTTGTTTGTTTCGATATTTTTTGGCTGCTATGTTGAAGTGCTGTTATAGATGACATATATTATATTATAACAACAACAACAACCACCCTAGTGTAATCTCACATGTGGGGTAAGGAAATGGTAGTGTGTATGCAGACCTTAATCCCTACATTATGGAGATAGAGAGACTATTTTCGAGAGGATATATATTATAATATAACATAAAAATCGGTTACGACAAAAATTGACTTTCATAATTTTATAGAAATAATGTTATAGAGATGTCTTGACATTACTATGGTACAGCTTCGCACCTACAAAAACCAACAAAAGAGAAGCACAGATAGAGCAGTAGGAAATTTTTTTATTTTGTGCCTCACACAACTGATATTAGTCGTGTGAGACCTCTTTTTTGTATCACGATTGTGTGGGTCCCAGAATTTTATGGATCCAGATGTGTAAGATAAGAGTCCACAAATATGTGAGATAAAAAGAGGCATCACACAACTAGTATCAGTTGTGTGAGGCACAAAACAAAATCACTCGAGCAGTAGAGAGAAGTGGACGGATAATATCTTTTACTCCTTCTTCCTAATTTTTATTAACCGTCCAAAAGCTATACTCTCTGTTTTAATTTGTTTTACATAATCTAACCTAAAGATCGAAAAAGTAAAAAAAA